ACTAAAGCCAAGCTGTGAATTACTGTATTCATGCAAGAATACACTTGTTATTCACAGGAAGAATAAATCAATTAAATGAGAATATTAAGTTACCACTATAATTCCCTTCTTTGTTAATTTAAAAACAAGTGCAAGTTCTAAGATTACTAAATAAGAGCACTTTAAATACAGATTATTCTTTTAATTAAGCTTGATATTATGACAAAAATAAAATAAAATAACTTTATTGTTATTTTCTAAGGCTTTGGAATATTAAAATTTGAAATTAAGCTTAAAAAATATTTTACACAGGGCAAAAAAACCCACATTTTTAAAACTTTTAAATTTTACAGCTACCAGTTGAAGCAGGACATCTGAATTATATTATTCACAGGGATGGTTTACCTAAGTCTAAGATTTAGAAGTTCAAAAAAAGCATATAAAAGGACAAAATAAAGCAGACTCTTATATGGCAATCTACAGACACACCAGAGATCTTAACATGCTTAACCCAATGATACTTTTTTAAAGACAATGCATTTACAGAATTGAGTGTCTAATATGCAAGTACAATTATTCTTTCCAGATGCATAGACATTGATCACTGCTAAAATTTTATTACATGTATGTAATTATGAATAATTTATAATTTAAATAAAACATTGTTATATAGAGAGTTATAATGATATAATGGGTTATTGACTTGATGGGTTTCGACTTTTGTGCTATACCTCCTTTACTGGTGATAATTGATAATTTTATTATTTTTAGTATTAATATAATTTTTTAAGTTTTTTGATTTTGCTTTTTACAGATTCTATAACATTGTGTAATGAGAGAGAATTATGGTATGCCACTAAAATAAACCAGAATCTGATGTCTTATTATAAACAGTGAAGTTATTTAAAAAATTTTTTTGATATTATTTTTTTTTAAATTTTAATTTGTTATATATGAGATCAGAATGAATTACAATTCTTACTACAATTTTATAGAGCACAATATTGAACACAATTTTTTATATCTCTGGTTGTATACAAAGTATATTCACACCATATTTGCATCTCTATACCTGCAGTTAGGTTATGAAGTCAATCTCATTCCACCGTCTTTTCTACCCCTATACCCCTTTCCTTTTGGTTCTATTCCTTTCCCCTATCAAAAATTCCTCTATTCCTCCCATGCTCCCCTTCCCAACCCCACTATGAATCAGCCTCCTTATATCAGAGAAGACATTCAGAATTTAGGTTTTTTGGGATTGGCTAAATTCACTTAGCATTATATTCTCCAGATCC